TAGCTCGCTGTCCAGCGAAGCAGTCATGGCATGCAAGGATGAGCACTCGGCGCGATCCGACCGGTCTTTGTATAAGATATTTCTAGCTTCCCAGCGCTGACACTAACGGGATATTGGCGCATAGAGAATTATATCCTAGCACTCTAGTGATGACTGAGTGGTAACTGAGACGCTTTCGAATGAGGACTGCTTTTGGAACATTTCTGACCAGTTTATAAAATGACGAACCTGCTCCTTGACAGCTGTTTGCACTTGATACTGAACGATACGGTAAGTGCCGATCAAAGCGTTCCGTGGGCCACGTTCGTTCGAGTCTTCAAGCATCTGCTCTGTGATACCGTAGCTGTTCATGATAGCCCACACCTTTAACAGAACAAGTGTTTTATAGGGTCCAGGAGATATTTTGCACTTGAAGGGTATTTTCTCAGGAGAGGGGCATTTTGTGAACTCATGGGCAATGCTGTGAATGATATGATAGCTGTGAAGTTTCATATGGAGGTACCACGGAGTGGTTGGTTCATTACGAAAGGATACGTCCTGATACGACAAACCGTCCCCTGTCCGCGGGAAATTTGACGAATGGCTGGAAATCAAAGTTTCCTCCGGACATTGATTCTATATGTTCTGGAGCCTATCGCTGGATATAGATACTCACGTGACTTACAGTACGAAAACCTTGTTTTCTTGTGAAATCACAATATCTGGAAGTGACCAGGATAGCCTGACATTTTGCTGAAACTGTTAATGTACTACAGCTACTGATTGACTGGAATAAGCACCGCAGCAGGACATTGCTACATGAGTGTGAATACGCGCACCACCTGAGTTAACCACGCTTTTCACCTCAAGCGTCACGTGCGGGGCGCTTTCCATTACTGGTTAACACCCGTTTCTTCTTGTGTTCCGCTACGGGCTTCGTAGGCTACGGCTACGGCTACGGCTACGGATACAGCCCTAAAATGAAACTGTAAACGGTCTATTGTGTATCATACCTTTTGCACCGTTTTACGGTATTTCGACATGAATTCACAAAAAACCCCCTCCTTACTTAGGGGCGCCCATTCAAGCTTTATGCATACCCACCTTCTTCGCCACCTCAGACCTTGCTTCCTCCTCACTTTCTTGGCAGGTGCGTAAATTGACATAAGTGGAGGGGAACCTAGATCCTCGTAGCCAGATGGATTTCTGAAAAGATTGTTTTATTTAACAGCTAGGCTATGTCAAAATCAGAAAAAAAATGCGCCACAACAAATAGCAACCATTTAGTTCGCCTCTAACGTCGAAACTTCACAGATGCCCAAAAGCTTGTAGTGCTTTTCCAAAGTGTTACAAGACAAACACGTCGCGCACAGACCGAATTTCTGGAACGTATGCTGCACGGAATGAGCGGGTTAGTATGGTTAGCATCGCCGCGATGCGTAGATCCGACGTGCGAAGAATCTCGTGGCGTTTGATGACCAATCAGGGCACAGCATTCGATGGGGATTTTGGTCGAGCCTGTACGACCCCCCTTTTTTGGGGGTTCGGTACGACCCCCCTTTTTTGCCGTTCGGTTTTTTCGCCTTAAATGAAACTATGAAACGCCCACTATGAAATTCTACTTGTATGAAGGTGCCCATACTAAATGGACGACTTGAAGTCATGACATAATAGAACAATACAGAGATGATTGCAAACAAAACACGTGGTCGTATATTGAGAACCGTATGATGAAGTCTCTACGATGGCCAATTTTGAAACACACCGTAGATAACGATGTATCGCGATTAAATTCAATGAGCATTCGTTAACCTGAGGTGGACCTCTCTGGGAGCGGCCATCAGCGACCACAGTGTTAACAACGTCTATTCCCAAGATTGAGGACGAGGAAAAGAGAGAAGCTTGTCTCACTACGTAACAGTTATACAAACCGCGCCCGTAAAAACTGCAGTACCCCATTATGTGGATAACTCGTTAGCAGAATGCGCGCATTAATTGAGCTGCTGACGAGATATTCGGCAATTATCCATGGGAGCGAAACATTTCCACTTGAGAGTTCTTTAACGTCGCAAAAATCACAGAGAAATCTGCCATAGGGATTCGTTGGGGAGTGATTTCAACCGAACAGGTTTGAATCAATATATTTTTTTTGTAACTCAACATTTCACAAATCTGAGAATGGTTTCGAGTGTTTGAAGATTTTCTCTTTCTAAAAACCTCTTGAAACTGTTAGACTCTCTGCGCGATTGGATTGAGATTCGTCGCTTTAGGTTTGAGCGAACACTCCCAGCTGCTTCGAAAAACCCGTTCACTTAGTACCGTTTCGTTTTCGCAGTGTCGGTATAGCCAGCAACCAGTTAGAACGTATCCTGTTTTTTTGTTTGAGCAGTGTGCGATAGGTTTGGTTTTTTTTTCTTTTTAGCGCGATCTCTTCAATATCTCTCTTCACTATGCCTTTCTTCTAGAGGTGATCTTTTTGATGGCTTTTTCTCAGTATCTTTTTCCGTAATGTCTCCCTTGCTTCATCTAATATGTTTCTACTAAGTGTTCAGGAGCGTCCATGTCTATCCTTTCATCGTTCTATCATTGTTTGCGATTTCGTATTTTAACTACTTTTTTCTTCCTGTTGGTCTAATCGCTGTTCGCATTTTTCGTGGATTGTTCTCGCCAGATCGTCTGACTTCCTATAAAGTGAGATCATTTCCTGAAAATTTGTATATAGCTTGAGTGAGTTGTAGCCTTTCGTTCCTGTCGAGATTAAAAAAACAGGTTGGCTCAGCGCCAAGCGCGACCGCGGACACGCCATATCATTGGCAGCGAACCAGAGTTTGAGTTGTACTGTTTAGTCACCAACGGACTTACGAGTTGTGGTTTGTGGTTATTAATGCCGATTTATTAAGATTTCGGTTTCGAATCTGCAGTTTGATGAATGAAAGTTTTGTACTATTTTTTTGCATATCCGAGTTCTCTACAAGTTTCGTTGTACAGGACTCAGCACATTGACAATTTGCGCTGCTCGTTACTGGCTGCCGCACTACGACCCCCCTCTCCTGGCGGCCAAATACGACCCCCCTGTTGGGGATTCCCCAACCAACGATGTGCCCTGGACCAATTTCCGCGGTCTAGTGATGAAACACACATCGTGAGCTACAGCGACGTTGGCCAAACGTCTGACCTCTTGTGTCCTCCAATACAAGAGCGACAGTCTCCAGAAATGCGATGAGTTATTTAAAGGCAAACCTTAGGTTCTGTGGATCCTTGTCCTTGCAGAGAGTGAGATTAATGGCTCCACGACGTGCCACTTTCTCCGCTTTAGAGAGAGACGAGGTTAGAGGGTAGTGATATTCGAGTGGCGTCTCCATACTCCTTCCGCGCTACCGCACGGTCAGCCACACACCTAACCATAGCGAGCTGGTTGTCTGCGCCCTCGTACTTACGACTGTTCTTGACCTATTCTGTTCGATGTGGGACTTTGGCATCGCGCAACTGTTGCAGCTTGAGCTATACCCTAAGCTGACTTCATTTTTCACCAGCGATTGAGGAATTAGTAGAGGGTATACTCTCGCTTGTAGAAGACCATCTTAGGATCATTGTGCGTGGGGTCATCATTGCGTGCGTCCTTACTATCTCCTCCGTCCTGCCATTCCTTGTAACCTTAAAACATTTATCATGCACTATTAGCAAGAAGCCTTTTTTGTCTCAACTCCCCTCCCAGCTGCATGTACTAATAACAAGGTTTTTGACAAAAATGACTAGAAGAAAGAATCCGCATTGCTGCGACGCATTTTCTCGGGTCGCCAAGATACATTGATGAATGCGCCATATAGCTTGTAAAATGTGGTAGTTGTAGTAAAAAATAGCTACGCACCCTAACGTCATCGATTTTCGGCCTTTTGAAGGGATCCTTCGCGAGCATGCTCTCAATCAGCATTCGGGACGAATGTTCCAGGTATAGTGGTAAAGAGAAACTGCCTTGGAGAATAGCCTAAAAGTGGAACAAGTGGAAGCTGATTGTGACAAAATTGCAAATTTTACAGAGGTTCAAATGGTTACGCTCGAAGAAGAGCATCGTAGGCACTCCCGTTTGTACAAATGCTGTGCGTATCAAGGTTTTGAGTGGCTAGTATAGCTTGGGTTACCAACCGATTTCAGCTCTGGTACGGTCTCTCCACGAAACGGGGTGACTCCAATCAGCATGAAGTGAAGTAATACGCCCAGTGCCCAAATATCGACCTTTGGACCATTGTAGCTTTCATCGCTGAAAAGATTAGTGCCGAAGCATAAGTACAGAATTTTCAAAGTAATCCATAATGTTGAATGTCAACGACTTCCGGAATGCTTGCTGCATCATTTTTCAAGCCATACTTGGGCGCGGTCAACCTGCTCACAGCATACGCGATATCAGTGGGTTGCTGAATTGGTCGCACAATGAGGATTTGGCCCAATGGAGGTCAGTCATTACAAGAGGGCCGTTCTATTGGAGGCTGTGACTAATCCAAATGCGTTCGCTTGTAAAATCTAATAAATGAGAATTATTGAGGGGGTCGAAAGCAAAGAGATAGCTCAGCTTCCGTTTCGCACGTGCCCTTAGACGGAAGCCGAGCAAAAGCATATTCCTCCTTCTGCTTGTCAATTATTTAAGTACAAATATAAACTTAACAGTCACAAAGTTAACCTACTTCAACAGCATCTACGTTCGTGTTACCATAGTAAAGTCAAACCGCTGCTCACTAGGAATAATATCATCAGTATAGGAGAGCAAGTACCTTACGACTTGATCAAACAATATCAGGACAACTATATTTTTTGCCCTCTGGACAAAGCTAGTAACAACTACGGAATTATATGTAAAAAATTCTACTTAGTCAACTTGATGAAGGAAATGGGAATAAGCTATGACGCTGCTAATGGCACATTCGCATATGGAGACAGTAACAACACGTATGAATTTGTGAGGTCGGGTAACAAATATCCGATGATACTGAAGCACAAGTTCTTCTGTGTAAGGAACAATCTCAATATAGAAGTTGATTCAGATCTACCAACTATATATGCTCTGCCTAAACTGCATAAGGATCCGATCAAGTTCAGATATATTATTACTGGCGCACATAGCGAATGTAGCATGCTCTAAATGCCCCTAGCCGGAAGAGCTACATGTTACTTTTCAAACATTTCAAAGAACAGTTGTGTCGAGTGTAATATCTTTGATATTCAAGAGTATTGTTTTTTGTTTGTGTTTTTTTTAGGTTTTTTTGTCTTTATGTGAATGTGGTTTTTTTTTTTCTTTTTTTTTTTTTTTTTTCTTTTTTTATGCAAAAAACCGAAACAGAACCCGATAGACTTACTGGTCGATGGACAACATCAATATAAGTCAGGAGCTGACTAATATTGCCTACGGCAATGTTAAAATATATACTGCCGATTTCACTGACATGTTTACAAACTTGGAACATAGCCTCATTATCAGGAATATGCAACAGCTTATGAGCATCTGCTTCAAAAATGCCAATAAGGCGTTTATTGCTAGTAATGGTTACCATGTTTTTTACCCCTGAAGACGGCTAGAGCCAAATAAAAGCAACACAGCATAACAACAAAGCTACGACCTATATTCTTATCGATTACTTATTGCGCAACAGTTTTTGTATTTTTGCTGGTAACATATTCAATCAGACTAAAGGTGTTCCACAAGGAGGCAACTTCAGCCCGCTGTTGGCAGACCTTACGCTGTCAATCATGCTTTTTTTTTCGAAATACAAATTATGCAAGTGCATAGATTTTCAATGCTAGTAAAATTGCCCTCATTCCATACGAATAGGATGATCTCCTAGCTCATACAACAACTTTTTCGAGAAGGTCTATAGAAATACCCTCCAATTGAAGAAAGACACACACAACTGAGCTATACAGTAATTATTTGGACTTAACCATCAATATAGTAAATATAAATATAAAAAAATATATAAAATAATATATAAACGGCCGAAATTACTACTGGTTTATATAATAAAACAGATGACTTTAACTTTAAAGTGATTAGATTCCCACACAGTGATTCAAATATCTCCACTAACAACAAGGCTTCCGTTATATACACAGAAACCCTTAGGATAGCCAACACCTGTACTTGCTTTGATACGTTTATTGGAAGAATATCGGATATGGTAAGAATGCTTTATAGCAGTGGTTACAATGAGGACTTCATTATAGCTAGTATAGTGAGGAGTATTTATAGAAATAAACTTATATGTTACAAATACTCTATTATGAATGATTACGGTAGCATAAGCAGATTAGTCCGAGGTATTCTCAGTGGCTTTTTCGTTTAAATTGGTGTCTATGTAACACATTTTTTACCTGCATGTGTCGTGTAGTATTTTCGGATATTATAATGTAACATCAACTGATAGTTTTTCGTAATTACGACGTCCTACTCACGTTATCCAATCAATTAGCATTCTTAAACCTCTCAGTCTTTATCGTTTTCAACTTTATACCTTATAAACTTGCTGCAATTGATTTTTCTTCCTTTCCTTACTGAAGAGCACGGAAGGAGGAATATGCTTTTGCTCGGCTTCCGTCTAAGGGCACGTGCGAAACGGAAGCTGAGCTATCTCTTTGCTTTCGACCCCCCTCAATAATTCTCATTTATTAGATTTTACAACATAGTTCATTAATCTGTTTCAAAGATTTTATTTGAGCAGTCCATGTGATTCAATTCTACTCACCCAACTCGACACCACTCCGCAGTTGGTGGAGGTCTTGTACGTGATCTTACGAGGCGCAGCTCTGCGCGGGAACGCATGGGCAGTGTATTTATCTGCTCAACCTCGTACGTCGCAGCTTTAGTTGAATTTGTTGGGTCCCGGTGTGAATGCATGTGTCCATTCAACCTCACCGGAGGAGCCATAACAATAGGAAGGGTCATAGGAAAAAGCAGTTTCTCGGGTGAGTGTAGTGACAAAACTTCCGCCAGATTAGTCTCTCATAACATTATTATATACCACTTCGAGACTGAACTCACCGGAACAATTCAGGTGCTGCGTACGGTGGGCTGCCACAAAACGTCTTCAATTGTTCAGCTGCTGATGGCAACATACAGGAGAAACCAAAGTCAACTAGCTTTACAACTCCAGGTGCCGAAAACATGATGTTTTCAGCTTTGATGTCTCGATGAACAAGGTTGTTTTTATGCTGAAAAAAACACCAGTGCATATGTTCGCAGACCTTGTGAGCGTATATCAGCTTGGATTGATACGTAATTTAGTTTTTAATTTAGTCAGTATAGTGCAGTTCAGTCTTTATAGTGCCATCACTAACAGGGAAATATCTTGTATTCCAATGATTTTTTCAGTAGTAGTGGAACCAAACAAAAGCACCATGTGAGTTTATTACATGATCTGGACAAACGGAACCATTGTCCTTGCGGGGATGGGTGTTTCACGCGGGGAGTGTGCAGGGGAACATGGAAAAGGAAAAAAACACCTGGGCTCCCGAAGAGTTAGAAATGATGTGAGAGCGGACACCAGGTTATGCCAAGAGCAGAAAGCTCTAATGGCACCCGCTGATCGCTGTCCTTCAAATTTACAGTCTAAAACAGTGTGCGCGTTTGTTTTTTGTTGAAATTACAGTCGGGCTCTTCCGAGGATTTAAATGCAGATAAGGGTATTTCAGAGCTGCCCTCAGTCGCTATTAAGCTGCTCACAGCGTTGTTCTAAAGAGAGTTGATTCCTTCCTTTAGAACAACGCTGTGAGGAGCTTAATAGCGAAGAGTCATGGTAGAAAACCTGGGAGGACATCCATTACTACATCTTCTTGCTTCATTTCTACCCAAGGTCCTCAGTGTCAAACAAATCCCCAAGGAGGAGGGTTAAATTCAATCGATGGAAGGAAAGATCGTGTTTTTCCTCGAAGGCACTTTTTTGTTGTCAGTTTTCCTCGTTGCTTGACCCCCCCTCCTTCTTTTGATGGTCTGCGAAAAAATTTACTGTATCTGACAGCTGATTGAAACCCTCTGTCTTCACTCCTCCGCACTGCACAGCTGGAGGTTACTGACAGAGAGTTTCCACACCTTGATAATGCGCCTTGCTTCTACATCTTCTGTCATGCATGCTGACTGGTAGTAAAATTTAAAAATATGATAGCCAATACCATATGTGCAACAGCTGCAACAATTTGCGCAAATAGCGGCTTTGCTTCGTTCTCGGTGAGCTTTCCTCGTTCGTGGACGTACGCATAGAGTTCACCACCACCCGCATATTCCAGCACCAAATGTGTCCTCGTCAATGTTTCCACACACTATAAACTTGAAAGTTGCTGTGAACCTGGAAATTGAAGGCAACATCTGGAAGTCACCTCGAACAGTCGTATAATATTCGGGTGATGCATTCGTTCCATGGCTTTAATTTCTCGTTCGAGTAGTCGCTGTGCTTTTGTGTCCATTTTCGTTCGATCCATAATTTTCACCGCTACTTTTTCTGAAGATTTGTGGAGATATGGTATGATGCACAACAAAGCCGATATTGCGATTTTTTTCAACTCTAGGTAGAAGAGTCGTTAGGTGCGAGAATCGTACTCTATATATAATATAAAGCAGATATAGTCTGTGTGTTTGTCGGACGGACCAATAGGAGAATAGGCTCCGCCCACAATGGGCGGGGCCTATATTTAGCTGAGCGGTGTCACGGACGTAATCTCTTGAAAACGTTGTCAACAAAACTCTTAAACGCCGTCAACTTTGGGATGGGGCTGAGGGCATGTTGAAAATATACCGAATACACACAAACTAAGTTAAGCCTCGCACACAATGGACGGGGCGTGCACCGAAGTGAGTAGTGCCAACGACAAAAATTCGTAAAATTCCTCCGGAAGATCACAGGGACCGGGACAAAATCATTCTCTATGCACCACGTTAGACTACACCCACAATGGGCGTGGGGCATACCCGAAGTGAGCGGAGCGTTTGTTCGGACGAGACTCCGAACTCAAATCTTCAAAATTCGGACTCGGAACTGCCCGGGCAGCGGGAAAACGGGCTCGAGTAAAAAGTGGGCAGGTAGATAAACAGAAGGAGGCACACCCGAACTGGGCGTTGGAAGAGCACGGCAGCCTGCAGTCGGCGGGCGTTTGTCTGGGTAGGTGGGGACCAAGTAAAAATTTCTAGACGAACCCGGAACTACCCGAGCAGCGGGAAAACGTGGAGTAAGAAGTGGGTAGAGCGATGTGACTGGCTCCACCCCTGAATTGAAAATTGTAGGGTTAACCCATTTCGCAAACACAACCCCACGCACAAGCAGGAATGCCCGGCGAAGCGGCCTTCCGTATAAAGCAGAAGTTGTGTGTGTGTGTGTGTGTGTGTGTGTGTGTGTGTGTGTGTGTGTGTGTGTGTGTGTGTGTGTGTGTGTGTGTGTGTGTACAAACAAGCAAACAGAAAAAACGAACTACACTAACTAAAGCAAACAAACAAAACAGACAAACGCGATTAATATATATGGGGTGATTACCACAGCCCATGCGCTTTTCCCAAATTTCCCATCAATCCTTTCCCGTGCCCATCTCTTCAAGAACATGGCTCATCAGTGACATGCATGACACAGAGACATTTTTGGCTACATGGAGTAGTCCACTCTTTCTTTCACTCTCTTGGAGCAGGTCTCTCTCTGAGCGTGTCAACCATTTACAATGTTTGAAACTTACGTTCGGACTCAATCAATTTCTTTAAGACCTCCTT